TGATTGGCCAGTGGCCAGGCAGGAAGTAGGTGGGACAAGGAGAGAGGAGAATTGTGGGAAGCAGAAGGCTGAGGCGGAGAGACACTGCAGCCGCCGCCATGACCAGCAGCATGTGAAGACGCTGGTAAGCCACCAGCCACGTGGCAAGGTATAGATTTATGGAAATGGTTAATTTAAGATAAAAGAACAGTTAGCAAGAAGTCTGCCATGGCCATACAGTTTGTAAGCAATATAAATCTCTGTGTTTACTTGGTTGGGTCTGAGCGGCTGTGGGACTGGAGGGTGAGAAAGATTTGTCCTGACTGTGGGCAAGGCAGGAAAACTCTAGCTACAAATGCAAGCATAGAGGTCATATTCATGCTACATTTTTAAGCTATCTGTTGTTGCTTTACTCTCTTATTTTTCTGAATATAAACAAGACTTAATCATAGGTGTGTGTGTGTGTGTGTGTGTGTGTGTGTGTGTGTGTGTGTGTGTGTTTGAGTGTTTTCCATAATTCAGACATTTAGTAGACATCTAGGAGTATTGAAATGCATTCTGTACAAGAAAAGGGAAATTATTTTATTCCTTGCACTCTTCATACCCATACTGGTTTCAAACTCATGAGTAAACCTCATTCTTTTTCAAGAACTTTATAATGCTGCTTAGCTGTAGTACCTTGCCCTGCATCCTTTTTCTCCTCATTGCCATCCTTCTCCATGTCACTCCTTAAGTCAGTCTGTGTAGCTGAAGTTTTCCTGTGCTCATTTGGCACCAAGGTCCCACAGCCATTTATAAAATTTCTGTGTCCCACCTGGTCCTGTAACCACTCAGACCCAAGTAAACACACAGAGGCTTATATTAATTAAAACTGCTCAGCCATTAGCTCAGGCCTACCACTGACTAGCTCTTACATTTAAACTCAGCCCATTTCTGTTAATCTATATGTTGCCATGTGTTCCATATAGATGTGTGCCATTACATGCTGCTCCCTGGATGGCGGGCTGTCCAGCTACAAGTGTATATTTATTGTTAAGACTTCCTGACTTGTGGCCTCACAGCTCCACAAATTCTCCTTACCAGGCTGACACAAATCATTTAAAAAATTGCAGATACATAATTTTACATGAGCACTCTTTGTATTGTTTCTCAAGAACACTGCATTTTTACCTGTCATTTTACACGAGATTTAGTGCTTGTTAAGTACTCAAATTCTTGAGGGCAGGAAACATTCCATGTATTAATATCTACATAATTTCTCCTATTCCATATGAGTTCAAGAAAAGCCAAGGCTGTGTGTAAAATCAATAGATATGTTAATCACATCAGTACTGCTATTTTTAAGATTACTTATTCTGATATTACTAATATGTTGAAGCAGATGATAGGAAGATCAGAAAACCTGAATTCCCTAAACAACATTTAAATCTTAAAATAATGAGAGACTCTAGAAAAATAAAATCATGCCAAAGCAGAAGAAGATAAACAAATACTAATTTTTTTAGTAGTAGCTATTGAAAAAGAAAAGGTGGGCTAAGGAGATAACTAAGTTTGTAAAGTACTCGCTGTGTTAGTGTCAATCTGAGTTCTGGTTCCCAGAAACCAAGATTACAGTGAAACACAGTGTCAGATGCACCCTTTGGCAGGGGTTGGGGTTTGGTGCATACTTTAAGATCCTGTGTGACTAAGGAAGACAAAAACCACAACTCTTTTTCTTGTCATGAATGAATACACATGTGTTCCTATACCTACCATATAGCTGCTCATGAAAACATATGAGGAGAAAAAGATATTTAATGTTATTCTACCTTAAGATGTGAAATTGGTGAGAATAAAAACAAACAAGCAAAATATCTGAGTTAGTCTACAAAAAAAAAAAACATTTCTAAACTCTGCAAGTCTTAATTTAAATCTTTGTTAAAATGGAAATATTGAACAAAAATCTTATCAGTATTTCCAATGTGATCCTCTCATGTGAATTGTATGTTACAGCTATCATTCTGTTTTATTCTTATTAATTTTTAAATTATTTTCCCAGCCCTATCACAGTTTGCTATCCCTCCTTCCTCTACCCCAAGCCCCTCCCTCCCTCTAACATTCCCTCTCCCCCACCCCAACCCCCTCCTTCTCCTTTATCTTCAGAAAAGGATAAACCTCCCATGTATACCAGTCAGCCAAGACATATCAAGATGCAGTAAGACTAGGCACCTCTTCTCCTATTAAGGGTGGACTAGGCAACTCAGTTGAAAGCAAAGTGTCCTGAAAGCAAGAAACAGAGTCAGAGACAGGCCCAGCCTCCCACTGTTAGGAGCTACACAAGAAAACCAAGCTACACAAGTATAACATATGCACAGAGGACCTAGATCAGTCTCATCAAGCTCTCTGGTTGGCAATTCGTTCTCCGAATCCCTATGATGCCAAGTTAGTT